TGGATGTTTCTACTCCAGACTCAGTCCACTGCTTCCGCAGGTCCCCCAAGGTCTGGAATCGGCCCTTCTCCACAATCCTCCTCAGGGTCCGGTCACCTCTTCTCGTTGTGCAACGTTTCCTGCCACACTTTTCCCTTCCCACAGACTTCCCACTGAGGTGCCTTGATACAGCACTCTGGGAACAGCCTATTTGTTCATCAGTTTCTTTCTGTGTCATACCCTCTTGCTTGAGGGTGTCAATGATGGCTTTCTGGACAGCAGTCAGGTCGGCAGTCTTAACCATGATTGCGGTTTTGAGTAATGACCAAGGCTGGGAGTTTTTAAAAGCCTCAGGAATCTTTTGCAGGTGTTTAGAGTTACGTCGTTGATTGAGATGGTTAGGTTAATAGCTTGTTTAGAGAACCTTTTCATGATATGCTAATTTTTTGGGACAGGCATTTTGGGTTTTCATGAGCTGTATGCCATGATCATCAGTATTAAAACAATTAAAGACCTGTAATATTTCAGTTGGTGTGCAATGAATCTGAAATATAAGAAAGTTTCATTTTTATCATTACATTATGGAAAATAATGACCTTTATCACAATATGCTAATTTTTTGAGAAGGACCTGTATATATATATATATATATATATATATATATATATATATATATATTGCAAATAATCAGCATATACCACATATAGGTTATTGCACAGGTAGTGACACTGAGGTTGAATTATTAGTTAGTTATTGCCAGTTGTTCAGTGTTATTTATTGAAAGTTCAGTAATCTGACAGCCTGTGGGTAAAAGCTGTCTTTGAATATTTTCATGTGTGATGGCAGACTCCTGCATCTTCTGCCTGAGGGTAGTAGACGGAAGAGTCCTTGTGCTGGATGGGTGTGGTCCTTAATGATGCTGCGTGCTTTACGCAGACATCAGCTGTGGTAGATGTCCTGGATGGTGTAGAGACTGCTACCAGTGATGTCCTCTGCTGTTCGCACCACCCTCTGTAGTGCTTTCCAGCTCTGACTTGTCCAGTTCCCATACCACCTGTGATGCAGCCTGTCAGCAGGCTCTCAATGGTACACCTATAAAAGTTGGTGAGGATGCTGGTGTTCGTACCAAACTTCTTTAGTCTTCTTAGGAAGTAGAGTCTTTGTCTGGCTTTCTTGACCGCAGTGTTTGTATGTAAAGTCCAGGACAAAGAGAGAGGCCAGACTAAGATGGTTTGGACATGTCCAGATGAGGGACAGTTTGTATACTGATAGAATGCAGCTGCCAGGAAAAAGACAGAGGAAGGCCAAAGAGGAGATATATGGATGCAGTTAGAGAGGACATGGATGTAGTTGTAGTGAGGACAGAGGATGCAGAGGACAGAGTGAGATGGAGGAGGATGACTTGCTGTGGTGCCCCCTGAAGAGGGAAAAGACAAAAGAAGAAGTCAAAAAGAACTTTTCTCAGCTGTCGATTTTAAAGGGGCGGTTGTGACTGAGTGGTTAGAGCAGTCGTCCTCCAATGCAAGAGTTGGGGGTTCTAATGAACCAGCAGTCACATGTTGAAGTGTCCCTGGGCAAGACACTGTACCCCTCATTGCCTCCGATGTGTGTCCCGTCAGTGTATGAATGTGATCTAAAGCTCTGATTAGTCTCTTTTGAATGATTTGTTCAATTAGCTTTGTAGAGATCAAGTAGAGTGCTGTATGAATGGGTAAATGAGGACACAGATTGTAGCGTAAAGTGCTTTGAGTATCTCGATAAGATAGAAAGGCACTATATAAGTACAGTCCATTTACCATTTACCATTTAAAGATCGCACAAGTTCTTCTGTTTTAGAGCCAAAATCTCGGTGCACACATATACAACTAGACCACTGGTTCCCAAATTTTTCAACACAATGACCCACAAAATAACAGTGACATACACTTACCACGTAAACTGTCTTTGAGTGACCAATCATTGTCTGTAGTGTCATAATGAGGCTAATGAAGATAAACCCAATGGTGCAGGCAGGCAGTGGAAGACTGGATTATTAAATAACGTATGTATTTACAAAAATCAAAAGGCTGTCAGTGCAGCAAAACTTACATGAGCAACAAGGAGTTCACAAGGAGCAGACCAGAACATCACCAGTGAACAGATAACAATACCAGGACAAGGACTAACACAGAGACACAGACTTATATACAACAACTAACAACACATAACACATAACACACACCTGTGAGATCACGCAGCTGAAATAGATCAGACAAAACTGGGAAACCAGGGAGTGTGAGAATGGAAACCAGCCACCAGAAGGCATAATCCTACATGTAGGCTGATAGAGCAATAGCATGATGATGACGCTGACAGTTTCAACAACCATTTACAGATACATTTCTTATCTTTTAGATCCGTGATAACAATAATGTGCTAATATTGGTCATTTTTAATCTACTGAACCATTCAAGAAAAGAAAAGTTTAAAGATCAAATTTTAGAATAAAACTAGTCCCGATTCTGAGACAACATTTCAACCATCTTATTTTGAAAAAAGCTCACTTTTGTCATTTCCTGTCCAAAATCAGCAAATAGTTTTGTTGTTTTCGGAACAGGTTGTTACAAATATTCTCTGTTCTCTATATACAAGACAAAACCTTTGATCTGTTTGTTTTCCACCACATACTTACCTGTTCAGATGTTCAGCTAATTCTGGACAAAGAACGTTGTGTTTCAGTGATTAAAATATATGCACAGACATGCATAATCTTCTCTGCTGCACCACCAGATGCCCTGAAGCTACAGTTTGCAGAGTCAGGAGTACCAGAGGCTTTGTCTGAGATGATTCGGGACCTGCAGGGACATTCGGACCCCCATGACCTGTGCAGCATAAAGATTGCTTCCAACCTTATAGTGTCTCTGCTTTTAGGAGGTAAGTGGTGTTGGGCGTCTCCAAATGTTTGGGGTTTTGGGGATTTTCCTACAGAGAGTGATGATGTCATGTACTCCAACTTTGGAATGGTTTAAAATTTCTAATATAACCTCTTTTACGTAATATCAACACTTGTTGCACTTTTTTCACCCAGTGTCTCTCTGCTATTGTTACGATAACGGGTGTACCCAGATGAAAGGCCAGAGATGATCAGAGACCAAGACTCAATGATAATTTACAGTGTTTATTTACAATGGTGATAATATAAAGGAGACATCGGGGTTTGGGGTCTGGATCACCTGGAGGGTAGAGGAGAGGTTTAAAGGTCTGCAAGTGGAAGGTGGATTGTTTGTGGTAGCTATTCTTACCCTGCGGGCATTCGCTTCGACTCTAATCTGGTATGCGTGGACCTCCGCGGACTAACGTATGCCAGAGTATACTGGAGGCTGTACAAAGAGGTTTAGGAGCCTGAGCGAGGAGGCTTGACCCAGCTGATGTCCAATACGATCGAGATGAACGATGAAGGAGGATCCATGTAGAGCAGGCAAGTGGTGGAAGGGGCAGAGCAACTGGAAAGGAACAGGAGGACTGGATGCTTGCATGAAAACTCAAGGCAGGGCAGGTGGACGACAGGACCAAGACTCTGAGATGGCATATAGAAAGCAAACAAGATTAGACTCTCGCTTAATTCAGAAGTATACTGGCTAGAACACTACTACCATTGGAAGGCAATGTCCCAGCACCTGCAGAATGGTTCTTGTGGCTTCTTATACTCCTCCTGTGGACTGAGTTGATGATCTGCAGCTAGTGCTGAGGGGAGAGAGGCAGGGTGCAGGACAGAACTCCTACAGCTATAAAACTTATGGTGTCCTCTCAAGTCCCCTGAGAGCGCAGACAGCACACATACAAACTCTCATGAACTTCCACTATATCTGAGCTTAAAAAAAAGCTTTTCTATTCAAAACTGGGAGAGAAGGATCATTTTAGTTTGTTATATCTCCTAGATAAAGCACTGTAGACTGATAAAGAAAGTTATTGATTGTTACATTAATTATTATTGTTGGAGGATTACTTTAACATAGTAATTTAAACAAATTGTTCATGACCTGATACTTCTGAAAACTTACAGTTAAATATGTTTTTATTGTTACAGTGGTGGGATGTAACAAATTACAAGTACTTTGTTACTGTACTTAAGTACATTTTTCATGTATCTGTACTTTACTTCCTTAGATAGAGAACTTCACTAATTGGCTTTTTTATGTATGTGAATGTTCCTGTAAAGTGCTCTGAGACAACTTTGTTGTGATATGGCGCTATATAAATAAACTGAATTGAATTGAATTTTTTGAATTGAATTGAATTTACTTAAGTAGAGTTAAGCGTGGGTACTTTCGACTTTTACGCCACTACATTTTACATGAAGTATCTGTACTTTTCTACTACACTACATTTCTATAATATGTTACAAGTTACAGTCACGTTGCAGTTTTTTATTTGTTTGTTACATTGAATGTAACCAATGGTGAGAGGGGAGTTGGTCTATTGAATCACTGCAAAGTGGGCAGGTAACGTTAGACCCACCTTCAAGAAGAACTGGGCCAATGACATATATTTATCTAGTATATATGTCACTGAGCTGGACCCACAGCACCACTAACACACCCAAAATGGATTCCACCGTGGAGAGTCAGCCAGAAGATATGCACCACCCATGGCCTTATTGAAAGACTATTGAAAGACTATTGATGGACTGTTCAGTACAGGAGGACAGATTCTCTCTTCTAAAAGAGCCAGACTGGACAAAAAAAACTTTGAAAACCAACTTCTTCTGAACTTGAACAATAAATTCTTGCCAAAATATTAAAATGTGTCAGTTCATGGATGTTAGGAGACAAGAGATGTCTCCAAATGTCTCCAAATGTCTCGACACTCAGGTCCAAGTTTTAAAAATGGTGTCAGGAAGTTAAAATATTGTTCAATATTGACCCATTACAAGGTTGAATAGACAGTATTTTAACTAGAGTTGATGACAAACTGGAGTTGAAATGATCAGAGCCTGTTCCTTTGTTAGTTGTGTCTAATGCTCCTTTTTTCAGGCAGACAACTTTTACTTAAATGTTTTTACTGCAGTTAAAATGACACATTGGTTTTGTTTTGTGTTAAATAAAAACTTTCAAAGGTAAAATCATTCCTCTTTCTTATTTTGATTAATGACATTTAACTCTGCAGGTCATCCCTGAAATTCTGACACAGAATCACAAGTCCAAGTGTGAACTGTCACAGAGTAAACACAATAAAAACATGTATTATCTGCAGCATTGTTCATTAAAATGGCTCAACACTATTAATGTATTACAGAAAGTATACATACTGTAGGCAGACTTAATGATATTGTAGACCATTGCATTAGGTAATACATTCAGCAAGTACTTTTACTTTTAATACTTTAAGTATTTTTAAAAGCAAGTACTTACTTACATTTACTTAAGTAAAAACGTCAATGAGGTACTTCTACTTTTACTAGAGTATATTTTTATCTGTTTATTTGTACTTTTACTTAAATACAGTGTTTGAGTACTTTTTCCACCACTGTTTATTTATAACTTATAGTCTTTTCTACTGACTTAGTCTTACCTTGTACTCTGCATTTTTGTCTGCCTGTGTCGTAAAGTGTGCAGTCAGGGAATGACAGATGCAGGTGTGTCATTGCCATGACAACCCCGATGAGCAGCACTGAACATTTCTTTATGCATTTCTTCTACAGTTGTTACACAAATACATTATATCCCCAAATAATAATAAACTTTAAAGGAGAAAGGTGAGGATGTTCAAATTTAGGGTAGGATAGCTGCAATAACACTTTGAACTTTTCATTTTCTTAGAATTTCTTTTATCAAAGTAATTAAACTTTTCTCAGGAGCAGTGTGTTCAGAGAAGGTCGACCCTTTGAGGTTCAGCATATCAGTTGATGGCCAAATTTTGGGATGTTTGCCAGACTAATATTTTTGTTTGTTTGAACTTGTGTGTGTGTGTGTGTGCGTGCGTGCGTGCGTGTGTGTGTTAGACGAGTCTATGCAGAAGTGTTTTGGTGAAGGATCAGGTGTGGTCTATCAGGATATTCTGTTCTGGCTGCAGAGCTCCAACACCCAGCTTCAGCTCTCTGGAGCCCTCGCCATTGCCAACTTTGCAAGAAATGGTAAGATTTTTTATTTCTGAATCAGTATTCTCCAACGTCTATAAAAGTGTTTACATTGTAAATCTCATTTGTTTGAAATACGTTTGAACCTGTAACCAAAGTTTGAAGCAGTCTTTGTTGTGTTTCTGCCAGACAGTAATTGTGTGAAGATGCTGGATCTCGGCGTGGTGTCACACATCCTCACCTTGTTGGAGCAGCATGTCGATGAAGGGGACGTGTCTGTTCAGCATGCTGGACTGAGCGCGCTCAGGAACTTGGCCATTCCTGGTACACTTTAATGAAAAGCAGTAGCATCAGCAGGGTAAAATTTAACATCCACACTAAACAAAAGCTCAGGACTTACAAGAAAATGGTCAAGGGAGTATATTTATGCAACATTTACACAATCTGCTAACTTCCTTACATAGATACTTTACTAATTGACATTTTATGTACCGTATGGAGATGTTTCTGTTCAGTGCCCTGAGACGACTTCTGTTGTGACTTGGTGCTATATAAATGAACTGAACTGAACTGAATTGACTTTAACCATGATGAGAGCACAGCAGCACGGTGGTGCAGCTGATAGAGCTGCTGTCTCTCAGCAAGCAGGCTATCTTAGGTCAAATCCCGGTCCAGGAACCTTTCTGGGTGGAGTTTGCATGTTCTCTCCGTGCATGCGTGGGTTTTCTCCGGGTGCTCCAGTTTCCTCCTACAGACCAAAAACATGCATGTTAGGCTGATTGGTAACTCTAAATTGTCTCTAGGTGTGAGAGAGAGTGAATGGATGTTTGTCTCTGTGTGTCCCTGTGATGGACTGGAGACCTGTCCAGGGTGTCCCCCACCTCTCACACAGTGACTGCTGGACATGGACACCAGTGACCCCTGCAACCCCAAAAAGGAAGAAGCGGGTAAAGATAATGGATGGATGAATTTAATTTATTGAAATTGCTATCAAATTTGTAAGGGTGGCTACCGCTCCCACCCCCATCACCCTTGGTGGCACCCCTATAAAAGGCAACAATCCAAAAGGGAGCCTTATGTGTTCCCAACATGAAATGACATCCACAGACTGGTTCATCACCGAAACCATTTTAAAACACACTAAGATAGTTTAATTAGAGAATGGATTTAAGAATTTATGTCATTTCCTCTGATCTACAGAACTGTTACCTGAGCGTATTGTTGCACCCCTCCTTCAGAGGGAAAACTAATTCTCATACATGTCACTTTGTACTAGAAAGTGACATGTAAGGTTGTACTGATATTATGCACACATCATTTGCACAGGACACAGAATCCAAAACATGTGGTCAATTGGAGACAGAGTTTAGCTGTTGACCAATCAGAGCAAACCTCACACACATTTGAGGAGGACAGCATAATTAGTGCTATTAGTGCTTAGTGTATATTTAGTTGATGTTTTTCTTAGTTCATATTTTAGGTGTTATCATTGTTTTTCTTTTACATTTTATTGTTGGATGTAACTGGGACCCTGTGTGCATAATTTTGCTCCACCACATGTACCACATGAGGTGCGAATGACAATGAAGAAACTCTGACTCTGACTCATAAACACAGACCTCATATTAAAACACGTAAGGGGAAAACAAGCATACCTTTCCTATCTTTCAGCCACCAACAAGGTGCGAATGCTGGAGGATGGAGTGACTGAGAGGATTAAGACCCTGCTGCGTACCGACATGCCCCCAGTTCAGTTCAAACTGCTGGGGACGCTGCGCATGATGGTGGACGGACAAGGTGGGACAACTGTCATCACTGACAACACACACACACGGTGCATTTATTCTGGACGGTATTTAAGTACAGGGAGGAGTGATTAATAGATAAAAACAGCTGGGCTAATGAAGAGTGGCTGATATGAGAAATTCCAACAAACAAAAATAAATGATGACAACACAACACCACAGAGACAGCAAAACTGTGGTCCACAAACCACTGATCCATAAAGCTGAGCTGATTTGGGAACATATTTTAACCCCTGGATGGCCCTGTGGTTTCATGAGTAGCTACAGTCACAGCAGCACCTCAGTCTGTAGTACTGTAAGATGACAAGTACGTGAGAACTGAGGTATATTAGAACTTGGGTGTGTTGTTTATCCTAAGAAGGAAGAACTCATCAAAATGTATTAGTATCTGTTTAAATGTGAAAATGTTATCAACACAGAATGTGCTGACATTTTGCTGCTGGCTGTAAATTACACACAGAAAGAATTAGAATAATTGTTTTGTAGATTAAGTTAATTTAATACAAGATTTTATAGTTGTTTTTTTTTTTTTTTAAGGAAGTACATCCTCATAGCTGTATATATTGACGTTAAGGTTTTTTTTCTCATTTCAAAATGTCCCCCACCCCAACGTCTCTTTTTTGTTTCAGAGGAAGCAGCCCTAAAGCTGGGAAAGGATGCTACGCTGCTGGCACGAGTCTTGGAGTGGTGTGAAGCCAAAGACCATGCAGGCGTTAGAGGAGAAGCTAGTCGCCTGTTAGCTGCTTTCGTCAGACACAGCCGCAGTCCAGTGAGTTCAGCTGAAGTTAAAACATGTCTTCCTTTGGTGGATATTATTAGGTGTGTTCAGGACGTAGTCAGTGACAAGATGACAAGCTGATTCCCTCTGTCTGACAGGAGATCGTTCGTGCCATAGCCAGAGCAGATGGGGCGCGACATCTCATCGCTATGGCAACAAGTGAGCATGTCATCATGCAGAATGAGGCCCTGGTTGCCCTGGCGATAGCATCTGCTATTGACATAGGTAAAGCAATTTAAAAAAACATGGATTTTCTGCATCTGTTTATCCTGACCCTGTTCCCATTAAACTTTTATTGTGTGCTGAAAAAGTAATAAATAATATGAAAACTATATTAAAAACTATATTAAACTACAATATAGTTTAATACTATGTAAACTATAATAAGAATAGCTACATATAAATTTAAAACGATATTAAAATTATAAACTATAATAAACTAACTCTAAATTGTCCCTAGGTGTGAGTGAGAGAGTGAATGGTTGTTTGTCTCGTTTGTCTCTGTGTGTCCCTGTGATGGACTTGTGACCCGTCCGGGGTGTACCCCGCCCCTCGCACAGTGATTGCTGGACATGGGCACCAGCGACCCCCGTGACCCGAAATGGAATAAGCGGGAAAAGAAAATGGATGGATGGATGGATGGACTATAATAAACTATATTAAAAATAACTATAATTGTTTTAAACAAATCTTTTGCCAAGCTTGAATGGTAAACATTCTCTGCTTGTGTGTTTTTGCCATCTGCTATGAAAAACACGTGATTTTGCACATAATTTGCCTGTTTCAGTGTTTGTGTGTTTGTGTGTGTGTGTCTGTCAGCAAAATATCTCATAAATCAGTGAACAGTGCTTTGCAAAACTTTCAGAACATAATCAACGAATGTACATCTACAATTGTTTGGTGCCAATACAATTAGAATTTTAAATTTTTTTTAATGGCTGTTGTTCAGTCAATTTTACTGATATTGAGTTAAAACTTTATGTGGTAGTGGCTAAGAATCATTCCTTACACGTACTTTGAGCACTAAGCATTGTGGGAAATATTTGCCAAAACATTGGTGTTAACCATATGAGTCAACCTTGTTTGTCCGTTAGCAAAATATTTCATTAATCACAAGATGGATTTTAATTAAGCTTTCAGAAAACTATCATTGAATGTATGTCTACAACTGATCAACTTTTGGAGTTGTCCCAATTCAAGATGGCCACCACAGCTAACCAATTTTGCAAACACAAAATAACCATAATTCAGTCCATTTTACAGATATTTAGCAAAACTTTAGTGTGGTGGTAGCTAAGAGTCATCCCTAACACGTAATCTGGGTGCTAACAGATTGCTCTACAAGTTTTGTTAATCAGGGTTTGTGTTTTTGAACGCTTTAGACTCCATGAGGGATCCACTCAAAGAGGCCGAGCTGTTACCGACCCTAAAGAAGATCCTGGATGATCCTGTTGGAGCTGTCGAGGTCAAGTTCAGTGCTTTGGGTCTCATCTGCACCCTGGCTAACTCGAGTATGTTTTTTGCTTTTACAGCACTCAAAACGTTCAAAATTTTGTTCCAGGTTAAATTCCTTTTTTTTTTTTTTACACATGGCAACAACTGTAATGAGATTGTCTGTAAAATATAAATTACTTGAGAAACTACTGTGACAATTTGGCCAAGCAGTTTGTAACAGTATGTTGAGGTTTGCACCATTTGTATTCTGGTTTATCTGCGGTCACACATTAGGCTGTCATCCCTGCTTCACTCACCATACACAGTCTTTTAGAATGTGGCTGAGTTGCACAAATATTGGCAAACCTTTAAGATGAAGGTTTTCTGTGAACCTGGGATGCTCTATGTCACCATCACCATGCTCCGTACAACTGCACTGGCTCGACTGTCTTAAACAGGTTTAAGTATGTGTAAGAAGATAAACATAGCTCCATCCCCACAAGTGACATCTGTTAGGTTGTTTCCTTGTCACAATAAAAGTTATGGACATAAGGTTCATATGACCAGTCCTGCTTTAAATTCTGGCTAACCAAGCTACACCAGTGCACACAAGCCTCCTTGTCTTGGATAAAATACCTCCAAACTCCTCCATGCTCCACCTCGGAGCTCTAAATACTGCCGCTGTGATGGTAAACCACTATGACCTTTCATGCTGAAAACCCTCCATAACCTATCATGTTTTGTCATGCTTTATAAGGAGCTTACTGTGGTAAGAGGAAGAGCGGAGAGGCACAGAATCCATGTTGCTTGAAGTCCATTGTGAAGTTTCCACAGTCAGTGATGATTTGGGTCCATGTCCTCTGCTGGTGTTGGTCCACTGTGTTTTCTGAAGTCCACAGTAAACTCGGCATCTAGTAGGACATTTTAGAGACTCCATGCTTCCTTCTGCTGATGAGCTTTATGGAGATGCTGGTTTCATTTTCCAGCAAGACTTGGCACCTACTGACACTGTCAAAGGTACCAGAAGCCACCTATGGAATATTCGAATTTTCTGAGAAATCTCAAATCTCTTGCTGATAAGAGACTTACTGCTCATACTACCAGCAAAACTTCTGAAAAACACAACTCCTGATTTAAGAAGGTTGCCATAGCTAATCTATTTTGCCAACACAAAGTAATCCATAATTCATTCAAAATTCCAGATGATGAGGTCAACTTTATGTGGCTGTGGCTGAGAGGCATATCTATCATACTTTGAGCAGTAACACAAGATGTAGCTGTGGCAGCCATGTTGAATTAAAACTGTCACAAAAGGTGGTGGATGATGCACATGTGTTCAAGGAATGCTGTGCTTTTAATTTCATCGTATATTCACAATGAAATTAGTTTTGAATACACCGTATGTTTGCACTTTGACCATCATGTCTGCCCATCCTATACTTCCATGTTTTTGTCTTTATGATTTTGTGCTTCAGGTGTGATGAAGGAGGAGCTGAACTCAGTGAACATAAAAGAAAGCCTGAGTAAACTGACAGATCACAGCAGCAGTAAACTGGCTTCACAGGCCAGCTCCATACTGACCATCCTCAGTGACACCAGTTAAACCAGCTCTCTGCAGCAACAAGACAATCCATCTGTTCTATGAATTTATCTACATTGCACAATCAAACAGTCTTATGGTTAAGATAATCCAAGTATTCACATCTGAAATGTGACCAATCTTGTAATTTTGAAAGTTTATGGACTCAATGCTGGAATAATGAGGGTCTATGAGGGAAATATCAGATTTCAGCCGCCCATCAATTATTCACATCACTGCTTCTTCATTTTCCTTCAAGAGGAATGGCTTGGGTTATATTCTATGACAGTATGGGACATTTATGAGGTAAGATTAAATTAAATAGCTCAAACCAATATATTTAGAGATTTTTCAATGTTTTTTTTTTAAATTATTATTCTGAAGTAAATGGCTAACCAACAGGCAAGACTGTTTGTCAGATTGATTGTTGACTGGTCTAATCCAATGTTTCTCAGTAAAATTACATATAAGAATTTTACATTAGTTTAACAAAAGTTGAATCAGTCTTGTAGTCATGGAAAAAATTAAAGTTCACCCACTTTCATGTCTGGGTTTTATGTACCAGGACAAAATAAAATCTGAACTTTTCCAGGTTCTGAAACTGTTCAAATCTGACCTGAAGTGCATAAAGCACACAAATCCCATCATGTTCCATGTTATTTATTCAACAAAAACTAGGGATGCACAATATTATCGGCATGGTATCAGTATCTGCCGATATTAGTGATAAAGTTAAATATCGGACATCGGACATGCCATCAAAATAACTCACCGATATAAAAGGCGTTGTTTTTTTTAAATATATATTATATTATATTATTATAAAATATATATCTCTCTTGTAAATGAGACATCGAGGCTCAATGGGATTTACCTGTCTAAATAAAGGTTGAATGAATGAAAAAACTTTATATATTTATATAGTGTTACATCATTTTCAGCCTCCTTTTTGGCATCTGCATTTGGTAGCAGGCCAAATTGACAAAGACCATACAGAATAATGTAGAATTTAAATTTCAGAGCAGAGAAAGCTATGTAGTCGCTGTAAGTAGGTCTAGGGAAAAAATATTGGTATTGGTTATCTGCCAAAAAAGTTGTAACATATCAGCATATCGGATATCGGCCGAAAATCCAATATTGTGCATCCCTAACAAAAACTAAAAAGATGTGAAAAATTACATTTACTCTTGCTGCTTCTATAGGACTTAACATGCTGATCAATTGTATTGATTAACTGATCATCATCAGTGTGATCGTTTGTAAAAACAGGAATTTTATGAATCTGATGTGTTATAACACAATGCCAAGTGGAAAGACATCAGCAATGATCTTAGAGAAGCAACAGTTGTTTCCCTTCAATCTTGGAAAGGTTAAAGATCATTTTTAAACAATTTGAAGTCCATCATTTTACAGAGAGAAAGATAATTCAAAAGTGATCAGCTGCCACTCTAAAAAAGTTCAATCTGGTCCTCTGGACATTCAAAAAAAAACAAAAAAACAAAGCAAATCAACAAATGAATGTCCAGAGGACCAGATTGAACTTTTTTAGAGTTTTCTACCTGGATTATTGAGCATGCATCAGGATGATCAGCTGCCAGTCTTCTCAGAAGTGGATGATCCAACAAATTCACCCCAAGGTCAGGCCATGCAATGCACAGAGAAACTGCAAAAAACAAGTATTCCTTTTAAGACTTTATTGGCCTTAAAGTTCATGGCAGGACAGTTTGAAAAAGACTGAACAGGTTTGGCTTGTTTAGAAGGGTTGAGAAATCCTCTTCCCTCTAAAAGAACATGGCAGCATGTGTAAAGATGCATGTGAATGAGCCAGAGCACTTCTGGAAAAAATGTTCTTTGACAGATGAAAATTTAGTAGAGGTGTTTACCCAGAATGCACACCGTCATGTCTGGCAAACATCATTCTCATTCCACCTGTCGAGCTCTGATATGGAGAGCAGATGATGTGGTCTGGTTTTACAGCCACAGGAATTGAAAAGGATGAACTTTCTTTTTCTTATTACTGTAAATAGATACATACATATAGCAACAGGTCAATAATTAAAACAAAAAGCACCCAAAACAATAATTAGTTTACATGCAATAACAAAATACTTTTACTAAAAATTCCCATTGACTTTATTGTATTTTTTAAATTAAATTTGTTTGTTTTAAGGGGCTTTTATTTTCCAGTCTCATGTTTTTGTTGTAACAGCGGCTTTCATTTTGACGTCTCTTATTCAGATAAAGTGTAGATACTCGATTTGAATCATGAGACTGATACTTAACCCTGCATTTATATCCACCACTGTGTAAATGTGTGAACAGCTGACAAGCATAGCAATCTAAAAAAATTAATTTAAAGAAAGAAAAACAAACAAACAACTGAACATACGACAAATCTTGGAGGTAAAGGAACCAAGAAAACAAAGGCATGTGTGGACTGAACAAAAGACAAAAGAAAAACCAAAGGATACGTTTGAACTGAATGTGATGATGACTAACAGTTCAGCTGTGAGAATTAAGGAAGCTATAAACAAGAAAACTAAAGAGTATGTACAGAAATCAAATGACTGCTGTTTAATTTTTAGTCTATGCTCTCACCTCATCTATGGTCACAAACTCTGGGTGATAGTGACCAAAAGAACGAGATCCCAGAAAAAGGCATTTAAAAACAGATTTCTTTGCAGGGTATTGTACTAGTGTGAGAAGTTCAGTTATCCAGGAGAGACTCGGAGTAGAGCCGCTGCTCCTCCACATCGAGAAGGAACCAGTTGAGGTGTTTCAGGCATCTGGTAAGGATGCCTCCATGACACCTCACTAGGTCCAACTGGAAGGGCCCAAGACACACTGGAGAGATTCTGTCCCTTGGCTGAGAACGTCTTGGAATCCTCTCAGAAGAGCTGGAAGAGGTGGCTGTAAGAAGTCTGGGCTTCCCTGCTCAAGCTGCTGCCCTGAAACAAGCAGCAGATAACAGATGGATGGATAAAACATGGTCTCAGCCACACCTCATTAATGAAATACGAAGTTTAGAAATTATTAGAAAATCAAAGTCCCTTAGAATAAATGTCTCTTAAAAAAATCTATTTTTCTAACAAAACACCATCAATAAAGCATTTATTTATTATCTCAGTGACATAACTAAACTGCTATGTATATTTAAATGTAACTATTTCATTATTTGTTTAATAGACATTATGTATTATATTGATTTTTTTAAACCAGAACAAACACAATATAAAAAGTCAACTGGAAAACTGATTAATCAGTTGTAATTTTGAATAAAAGTGACATTCTGTAAAGCACTTAAAGAGTTTTGGTGGAGATTCAGTCTTTGCATAATAGTGCTTTGGTCTTGGCCAGTCGCTAATTTTGTAGCTCTCTTCTGTGTGTCATTGTATAAACGAAATAAAAGCTGACAATATCTCACTTTGGCTGCAGAGTTTGGATGTGTATTCATGCTTTGTCACGCAGATGTGAAAATGTAATTTTGAACTGCATAAAATTAAACAATTAATCTTTGTTCTTTAGTTATTTTACCCAGCACTAAAAGACGTTGTATTTGTATGTTTTATTATTTTTGTGGTTTCCTGGGAAAATGTTAACCTTAAATCACTTTAAATTGCATTAAAAACGCAGCACTTTGTTTCCCTTGATCAGATCTACTGGCTGATGTTTCCCGTTCCAAGATGGCGGACGTGTTGACGTGCCGCTGCAGCAGGCTCGTTGTTTCCGGTTTCTTTTTGTCGTTCTAACCGTCGACTATGGGCTGAAATTGATGCCATCAGAAACTGAATTACTGTTTTGAAACTGAATTTCACTAAAGTGAAGCTGAATTTCACTAAATTGAAATTGATTGTACGGAATTCGCCCCACAACACACGTGACTTCCATCTTCAGAACCCGGATGTAGGATGTTCGCTGGACTTTAGCTCTTCTAGACTTCATGACGTGTTTGCAGGTAAGAAAGTGAAATTTATTGTGAAAAATAAATCGTTTTTTTCCTCTTTGACCTCACAGACATGAGATGTGATTGATCTATGCGGCAGCAAGCACCGAGCTACATTCCAGCTGTTTGTTGGATCGAAAACTAAAGGCATGAAAAAGTCCCAAAATCAACACAACATGAATAAATAATTTGCTCATTGAAGAAATCAATGTCAACAAATGTTACATAACGGATAAAAATATCCAATGCATATAATGACTGATCTATATATTGTTTTAAATGTAATTTCTGTTTCTAATATGAATAGTTTAAAACAGGTCTCTCAATCATTTTTTGTTTTTATCTGTGTAGTTTTTCCAATTTTCTTGTTTCATGCTCTTTTTTTTAATACTTTTTCTCCACAATTATTGTCTGCCTTGTTATTTTACCTTCATTAGAAAAATGCAACATTTGTATTATTTATAGGTGAATTTCCCTCTCTAATCGTGCTCTCACTCTCTCTTGCACACAAACCTTTAGTTCACCTTGTGTAGTTGTTCCTGGTCTGCCGGAGCCACTCTCAGTTTAAGGAGTCGCAGCCCCAAGTGTCTGTGACCTGGCACTGCCGAAGTCTTGAATCTCCCAGTTTCCTTTTTTAGCTCTAGGTTTTTCTCAAGCTTCTTGTGTTCCTTCTTAATATTAGTTGTTGCAATAATTTAACCTTTCATCTGCTCACCACTGCCTTCTTTTAGCATTTGTCAATCTCCACACAATGTCTGGCTGGTCACCCATCACCTGTCAGTCTGGATCTGGAAGTCCCAGTTGCAGCTTTGCTGTCACTGTTATGCTGATACTCTCTATTTTTTTCTGTCCTACTGTGACAGCTGTAAAAGCCAAGATGACTCAAGTAAGCCATCAGCAATGGGGAACAGTGAGCGGTGTGGGCAGCGTGGACATGTGGGTTCTCCAGTCCTCCATGGTGCAGGTGGAGGTCCTCACTCTTGGTGCCATTATAAGGTCTGTGAACTGCAAAGGGAAGAATAGTAAGATGGAGGATGTAGTCCTGGGCTATGATGATCTGGAAGGTAAGAGTAAACAACCCAGTTTTCTCATTCAGAGTCAGAGTTTCTTTATTGTCATTTGCACCTCATGTGGTACATGTGGTGGAGCGAAATTATGTACACAAGGTCCCAGTTACATCCAACAATAAAATGTATAAGAAAAACAGTAATAACATCTAAGATATGAACTAAGAAAAACATCAACTAAATATACACTAAGCACTCATAACATAAAAACATTGAACATCAGCACAAACATGAACATGAGTCTGTGTGAGCGGATGTGCTCGCATGAACACATCAACATTGAAACAGATACATACTCATACACACCTTTTCTAAATCATACTTTTGCATCTTTGGTCATCTCGTACGTACCCATTCATTCTGGGTACGAGCCTCTATCCACTTTGTATTCACCTTGGCAGTCACCTTAACATTGATTATTTATTAAATTAGAGCACATTTTTTAATTGAACAAGTAGATTTGGACAAGTTTTATTTTATTTTTTTCTATTAATATCAGCCCTGTAAGCACCGATCATAAACAAGTGTTTGTTTATCATAAATAATATGAGGTGCTGGCAGACATCTTTAACTCCTCACTTACCCTGGCAACAGTTCCCACCTGCCTGAAGACCGCCACCATCATCCCAGTCCCAAAAAGCTCTACAGTGACTGGTCTGAATGACTATCGGCCAGTGGCCCTCACCCAGATAGTCGCTAAATGCTTCGAAAAACTGGTCATGACCCACATCAAAACAACCATCAACATCAACGAGGACCCTCATCAGGATGCATACCGTGAGAACCGATCAACAGAAGATGCAATCTCCTCTGTGGTCCACACTGCTCTCACCCACCTGGAGCAGAAAGACTCTTACGTCCGTATGCTCTTTGTGGACTTCACATCCGCCTTCAACACCATGATCCCCCAAACCCTGATGGACAAAATATTCACACTAGGACTAAGCCCCTCCATTTGCAACTGGATACTAGACTTCTTAACAAACAGACCACAGTTAGTGAGGATCCACAACTTCTCCTCTACCATAACCCTCAGCACTGGCTCCCCTCAGGGATGTGTGTTGAGCCCCTTCTTGTTTACTCTGCTCACGTATGATTGTGCAGCTACACGTCCAGGCTGTCACATTGTAAATTTGCAGATGATACAGCGGTGGTGGGATGCATCACAAACAATGGTGAGTCCAGCTACAGGCAGGAGGTGGAACACCTGGAGAGCTGGTGTAAAGAGAATAACCTTCACATCAATGTGAAGAAGACAAAGGAGATGATTGTGGACTTCAGAAGGAACAAACACAACTACACCCCCTGAACATAAGAGGATCTGCAGTGGAAGTGGTCTCCAGCTACAAGTACTTGGGTGTACACCTGAATGTCAACATCAGCTGGAGCAACAACACCACCAGCCTGATCAAGAAAGCTCATCAGAGACTCTACTTCCTCAGGCGGCTGAGACGAACTGGTCTGTGAAGCTCAGTCCTCACCTCCTTCTACAGGTGTGCAGTGGAGAGCATCCTGTGCTCCAGCATCAACGTGTGGCATGGAGGCTGCACAGCTGCAGAAAGAAAAGCTTTGCAGAGAGTGGTGAAGGCTGCACAGAAGATGTTGGAGTCAGTCTCCCCACCATCACAGACATCTACACCTCCAGATGCAGGAAGAGAGCCACCTGCATCATGAAGGACCCCACTCACCCAGCACACACACTTTTTGCCCCGCTTCCCTCAGGAAGGAGGTTAAGGAGCATTAAGTGTAGAACCAGTAGACTGAGGAACAGCTTCTACCCTGAGGCTGTTAGACTCATGAATCTCTAACCAGAATAATCACTGTGAAAAATCGCTGTAATGCCACTTTGATGTTGATATGTGCTGCTGACTATCCATGCTGCTGATCTCATGCTGCTGATTTATTTCATGTTACTGTCTTCATTTGTACACATCTGCTCACACAGACTCATGTTCGTGCTGCTGTTGTTTGGCGTATTGTTTTTGTACTGCTAATGCTTAGTGTATTCATTAAGTTAGTGCTCGCATTAAGTGTCTAAATTACAGCCGAACCGAACGTATGAGAATCATGCTCTTCTGTTCGGTGTATTGTTTTGCACTATTAGTGACTAGTGAATATCTTGGATCTTGGAGTTGGACATTTGTTTAGCGTATATCTTAGATCCTTATTTACTGTTTCTTTTTACTCTTTAGATTTGTGCTATTGTTGGATACAACTGGGACCCTGTGTACACAATTTCATTCAACCTCATGTACCACATGTGATGTGAATGACAATAAAAAACCTTGAATCCTTGAAAAGACAAAAGCTTACAAATACCACTGAATGCTTTTATGTTCTACCAGCAGGACAGGGAAACCCTGAGAGGAACCACCCTCATCTTTGGTTAATCTTTGTGTTGTGTTGTCAGGGTACGTGTCAGATAAACGATATCTGGGTGCTGTGGTGGGCCGTGTAGCCAACAGGATTGCTCGGGGACACTTTGTAGTTGAAGGAAAAGAGTACCAGCTTGACATCAACAATGGACCTAATGCGCTACATGGAGGTCTACGGGGCTTCAATAAGGCAAGACAGAATACATTTCTTTTTGAATAACTGAATTTTTAGGAATATGTTATATTTTTTGTTCTTGATGTAAAACATTTTTTTCCCAGTTATTGTACTTGTTAGGCTCCACAGTAGCACATGACAGAACTTTGTTATAAAATTACCAATAAGAGACTTGATGTAATTTCCTAAAATCCTCCAAGTGGTTTTCTGGAATTGCTGGATTATTTACAGCACTGAATTATATTTTTGGCTGATCTAACAACTTTTCCCTCTCACACACTCAAAATAATCCTATTTTTAAAAAGGACATTTCTACTCAGAGAGAGAAGTATATTAAGAGCCAAACTTAAGGCTTTACCAGTCGTTATTACCCAAAATCAGAATCAGAAAACATTTATTATCATTGTACTGAAATACAGTGAGATTATAACTGGTTTGTTCCACTTTGGAGTAAGCTGTTGGGGGAAGAATCAGTTTTGTTGTGTGTTTCCTTGACTGATGAAGCCTTCTGGATCGAAGGTGAAACGTTTCAGCACAAAAAAAGAAACTGTCCAGATGACCTGACTGAAGAATGTTGGACAGTGCGATTATGTTCGTAAAGTCGTCCGAAAGATGGGAAGAGTGCACGCTGCTGCTGCTCCTTGAGCGTGCAGTCCCTTATCCTTTTTCAGAATGCTTTTTAGATAGAAAAGAGGAAAAGACCATGAGGATAGTTGTATTACAAAAAAGATCTCTTCACACCTTGTCCTTATCAGGACACGATTTAACACATCAAAAAACTTTGCCAGCTAGCACATTTATAACACGTTACATATGCATTTGATGGCAAAATGGTGAGATTTGTCCACGAAGCACTTCCAGATGGTCCATTGACCTGATAAGCGTTCACAGAAGTTTTC